GCTTTGATTATTTTTTATTATTGTTATTACCTTCTATAATAAAAAAAAAACTTGTAACCCACCAAAAATTTTTATTTACCATAATTCTGCAAGAGACGTTCCGCTTTGACAAAAATAATAAATGGTCACGTTATCCATTACCCGTCTCGTGGGTGTCGTAAGATACGAAAGAGAGAAACAAACCAGGAGATGGACATCATCGTCTTCATAATGACAATTGTAAAAAACCTCTTGTTGCCAACTTGCCTGCCAAGTGTGTCAACTATTGCAAATATTCTCTTTATTATTATTATTAATTATTAATAAATTATTAATGATAAAATTATTAATTTTATTTTATTGAATATTATTATATTCTATTTTATAACCATTATATGTGTAATATATCATTTATCTAATAATAAGTCCGATATATTGGCTCTTAACACCCTTCAGACCGAAACATAGCAGGGCATACACTTGGTGGCAGAAATAAGTACGAAAGTGATAGCTACCCAGAAGAACGCCTCAGCAAACAAGGAGTCCTACCGCCTTATGACCGATCCTCGAGCCTCGGAATGCAAGTGAAAAGCTGAATGCGTTCGTCCTGTGTCTGATATCACTCTGGTCGTGTTGGATGACCGTATCATCGGATTATAAGAGTGAAGGAATAGGTAGTGCAAACAACAAAACAAGTTAAAATCACAAACAATTTCCTTAACACCCTGCTAACAAATGTTAATAGATCTACTTAAATATACGATCCTACTAAGGGCTGATTTTTCAGTCCCTAGATATATCTATCAAATTGTAACCTGACTGTATAGTATAGGTCTAATATAGGTTGATTTATTTATAATATAAAATGACAAAATACCTAACAGTACATAATGACAACTAATGTTGTTCATGGATTTGGCAACTTACTTCAAACAAACAAAGCTATACCCTTAGGATTATCTACAATAGTTTATTATAATAATTGTCACAAAATTCAAACCGCGAAATACAACTGTAGAAGCAAACAAGTCGGGAGGTTGAAATAGTAATTGAAAAAACATGACTGCGTAAAAAATTTACTAAAAAGCGAAAAGTTTTATATTCTATGTCTATACTAAAACGATTTAAACGGCTTCACATCATCTGTTAATATCCATTAACGCCATTTAGGCTACAGAAAAATAGACATATACATACGAGTACATACACTCGAAAAATATGACCCTCCTTCTGTCTACGGAAGTCGAGTAAAAACAGCGGTACTCCTTGTTTGTAGAAATAGGTAAGAAAACGTTGCTCACTCAGATGGACGCTAAGTAGGAAACAATCCTTCCAACAATAAAAGGATTGTTTGTTTTTGAAAGTTACATTACGTTGATTGCTTAAAAAAAGCCGCGTCATCAGTGGATCGCCGCGCCCTACAAGACTATTAAGAAAGGTAATTTTGATCTGAGACGATTCGAGACAGACATGAGGCGGGCTGGGACATCGCCGGTGTCTCTGACAGAATGACAGATAGTAGATAAATTGTGTCCATGTAAAAAATATTTGTAGATATTATGAATGACGAATTAAGAAAAATCTTAGCTACAACTGCACATGAGAGCATGAGATAGTTATATATGTGGTAGAGTCATGCTGCAGTTACTTTATTGTTGTAACACGAATGGGGCGGCTCGACCGGGGAAGGACCACACTCTCACAGAATACCAGCGTAAAACTGATTTCTGTTCAAATCAAATGTACAACATGGACGTATAAAGCACAAAGACATAGTGCGAGATTAAACATAAATAAGGTTTTCTGTGTGACAGTATCAAGTTATTGTTTGTATTATCTAAAGTGCCATTATTCTAGAAAAGTTCTTTATAGTGCGTTTTACTTTTACGACGATAACGTTTCGTTTTCGCCTTTATTCTTCTATTCTCAAGCAACAGCAATGATTAAGGGTACGGTATAGAATGCTAAAACATCTCGGGTCCGACCCCTCCAAGCAACTATTGGCTTCTGCTTGTGTTAAGCATTTTCAGCTTAAAATTAATTATACTAATGTGAAAGACTCGCTGCCTGCGGTGCAATAAAATGGGGATAGTGGAGGTGTAAGAGTATCACTACCCCATATCATCCCGTGGATGTCGTAAGAGGCATTTTCCTAATAACAACAAAAAAACTGCCGATGCGAACTCTCTTGCCAAGCGTGACAACTATGTCAAATATCCCCCATATGAGGCAATCTAAGGGGGAGGCCTAGTTCAGCAGTGGACTGTAATAGGCTGTAACAGTAACGGTAAATCCAATATATCATTAGTCGCCATTTACAACATGTTGGGCAAGTAACACAGAATATAATAGAATAGAATAGAATAATTTTTATTCAATAAACATTACATGCGTAATTCTTATTGAAAGTCATTTTTTACTTAACCACTGGTTCAAAAAAAACCCTCTGTCCTGGGAAGAACCAGCAAGAAACCCAGCGGGACTTTTTTTAAAATACATTTTACAATATAAATGATTACGAACTATTTACAAAATTTATTTTAGAAACTGCTTGGAAGCGACCACCTCATACCCAGGAGTTATTATCAACCATGTATTCATTTATACTATAACAACCCTTTTTATACAGTTTCAGCTTAATAAAACATTTAAACTTGTTAATAGAGAGAACCTGTACACTTTCCGGGACCTTGTTGTAATAGCGTATACATTGCCCCAAGAATGAATTACTGACTCTGTGGAGTCGAGATACTGGCATCACTAGCTTGTGTTTGTTCCTAGTGTTTACAGAATGTATATCACTTTTTTTTACTAAAACTATCTTTGTTTTTGTGAACATACATTAAATGTTCGTAAATATACTGAGAGGCCAAAGTTAATATATTAATTTCTTTAAATTTATCTCTAAGAGACTCTCTCGGTTTTAGATTGTAAATAGCTCTAATGGCCCTCTTCTGTAAAACAAATAGTTTCTGAATCAGCCGCATTTCTCCATAGAAAATCCCATAAGACATTATGCTATGGAAATAACTGAAATAAACTTATCTAGCTGTCTCGACACTAGTGAGACCTCTAATCCTTTTTACAGCATAGGCTGCAGAACTTAGTCTGCTTGCTAATTTGGATATATGGGGGTCCCACTGAAGCTTTGCGTCAAGAGTGATGCCAAGAAAAACAGTGGATACAACAGGGCTCAATTGCTCCCCATTTAAAAACACATTGGTATTTAGATTTTTAACATTCGTTGTTGTAAATTTAACACAATTAGTTTTATTTCGTTCAAATAGATTATATTTTTAGATTTAGATTAGTTTATTTCAGTTATTTCCATAGCATAATGTCTTATGGGATTTTGCTATGGAGAAATGCGGCTGATTCAGAAACTATATACAGAAATTGGTCTGAAATTGGCGGGGTCTAATGTACTACCAGATGTAAATATAGGTATGACTTTACTGTTTCATTAAATCAGGAAACACACCAGACGCTTCGACGCTTATATTAAATATAGTGGCTAGATAAGGTGCTAATATATCTATTATAGATAATGTTTAGGCCTAATCTTAACTATTAAGGCTTGCGTTCCAAACGCTTGCCTCGGCGTCATCCGATGGTATTGTAGTTGACGCAATTGCCGCCGGGGGGGGGGGGGGGGGGCGAGCGCCGCTTCCCGGCATTCGACCGCGTGGGCCGGCATCAGTGTCTTGACCGCCGCGGCCTTGTCGAGCAGTGTTGTCTGCAACCGCTGAGCTGGTTGGGCGCGCCCTGTGTGGTTAATTGTGTGAGCACGCCGAGTCGATAAAACTCTGTCTAGAAGATAGTCGCGCGACGGCCGGTCGGAGTCGTCTAGAAGAATAAATCGTAGGTCGCGTGCCTCTCATTGATTGTCTAATTTGTACGTTTCGTGACAAGAGGCTTGTATTAAGTTTTGGGTGATGAAATTAACTGATTGCCATTAATTTGCGCCGACGAGTTGTTGCTTGTGTGGCCTTTTAATATCGTACGAAGGAATTTTCCTTTGTCGGGAGAGCGCTAAACTTTGTGACTCGAGAGGAGATCGCGTGTGCTCGATTATAATTTGTTGCTAAGTGAACATGGAACATTGAACTTTGACCGACCGTTCTTTAGTTGTGTCGTGTGTCACTTGTTTGATTTCGATTAACGTGGATTTGGTTGAATTTGAAGTTAATTAAATGTACAATAAAGTTGATAAACTAATATAGTGAAATAAAAGGTTTCAATTGGTGAACGCTCACTGGAGTGATCGCACATTTTGGAGAAAACTAGCGCCTGTGGGTCTGCTCTCGGATCATATCGGGGATCGTCAGGTTACATTTATACACACTTTCGCACACTACTTTCATACGCATCACTTACCACCTGACTAGTACCCTGTGGTCAACCCTACCTCCGGAACTAGGTAAGTTTTGTTTGCTTATCAGCCGTCTTAGAATAATTATCCATAGGCCATTGGGCCCGAACCCTCTGGCTGCTCGTCGAGGAGGCTACTATGGGCCCTAGCCCAGTCGACTTTTGTCGGGGCAGCTGAGGGCCGTAACAGATAAAATAACTTTAACGGAAATTCTTAAAAAATAAAATAAAAATAAAAAAAATCTTGCCCGTTTCACTATTTATTATTCTCCAGGTCATTTTAATTTTGACGGATGCAGTTTTAATTTTGTTGCTTAAATGTAAAGCCTTAGCAGTGGAGCACACTTTTTTAAATATTTAAGAATATGTTTTTACATAATCTCTAAATATAACACTACTATTATATGATCTTTCATCATAAAGCTCGTATAACATTAATTAAATGATTTGCGACTTTTAAAAGAGAAGGTTTTAGAAGTAAATATTCTACTAAATTCATAACTTATAATTTTAAATAATGTAGCATACAAATAATTAGCACTATTTTTAAACGAAAGTGACGGAAGTCTTTTTATTATATTACTTCTAAACCTCTCGAAGCGATGTTCATTTATTGGAACAAACACAACTTTCTTATTTTTCTGTTTTTTGTGTATGTAAGGTAGTGATACCAACTGTCCACAGTGATCTGAACTTAAATTTTGTATAATTGATTTATGCAAGGGCTTAACATCTGTAAAAATGTTATTTATACAGGTCGCACTAGGCCCAGCAATACGTGTTGGTTCTAAGAATAAAGTAACAAGATTATACGATTTAAGCAATGAGCTAAACTTAATACTAATGGAAGAAGTTTCAAGGAGATTGATGTTAAAGTCTCCACATATTACAACAGACTTGTTCTGTTTACTATGTTTGAGTAAAACTTCTTCCACAATCCTTTTAACATAGTCATAAGTAGCACATGGGGGTCTGTAAACACTTACAACAATGAAGTGCTCGAGCTTGACACAAGCCATTTCTACAATTCACTCTACAGAGAGGCTCACAATATCCTTACGTTCTTTATATAATAATGACTTATCTGCTAATATTAAGGAGCCATCACGTAAACTATTTATCTATTAAAGGAACTGACCACCTGGTGATTTCTGAAATTAAACATGAAATTATAATCTTTTAGCCAATGTTCAGTAATACAAAGGATGTGTATATTGTTACTATTTAAAAACAATTCAACTTCCAATTCTTTGCCCATCATGCCTTGTATATTTTGATGCACCAGGTGTAAACAATTTTATTACTTATTTGTGGGCTGTATTCAAAATTAATTAAACTCTTATTATTGCTAGAGATTGCCTCTATTGTCACATTCACTAATTTAAATTAGTTGGAACTGATTCCAAATTAAATGTCAAATGATTATGCTCAATAAAAGCAGTCTTGGTAGCCAAAAACTTGGATGAGTTAAAAAGTAAATAATAAGATAGTACATTTGCTACCAGTCTTAAATTATATTTGGATAGGTAATACCTATCTTTTGTCCAAAATTTTTTTAATAAATTATTTATGTCAATTACATGAAATTTATGATTATTATCATTACAATTATATGTCAAATTTAAATTATTATTACATATTAAATTATGCATTTGTATATTTAAATTATGTCTTAAATTATTTTCCTGTGGCAATCCCTGTATATAAATAAGGCAGTGTGAACAAAACAATTTTGTGTACATTTGAGTTATTAAGTTGTTCAATATATCTTAATAACTGTTTGTTGTTTACACTGCCTCTTCTACCAACAAAAAATATTATTGTACTATTTGGGCAAAATTTAGTAACAATAATTTTATTTAGGATGTCACTAAAAGATGCTCCAGGCATGCAGCAATTTGTAACTTTTTGTCCCTTTAAAGAGTTATTTAAAGTTATGCCTAGAATTTTTCCCATGTCATCGCTATACACAATTATATTATTTTTCGTAATATTTTAGTTATTTCTTATTTTAATATCCTCTGCTATGGCACTGTCATAGAGTTTTGGTGGTGGTATAATATTATCAGCACATACTGACTGAAGAATCTGGCATTGAACGCTGACACTCACATTGAGGAGTCACTAAGGAGTCAAACTGCTCCTCATTATGTTTACAAGTCTTTACCAGATTATCCATAGACAATATGTGTTCTTTTATTTTATTTTGGGCTGATTTATATTAACTTATTGGATACAGTTTGAAGGGAGTTAATAAGTGATAATATTTCTGATTTAAGGCACTCTATTTCAGTCTCATAACATTTTTTTTATGTTATCCACCTCAATTGAATACAACTTAAGTTCATATAAAAATGCTTGCTTTTCTTTACATACATTAACATAATTTTTGGTATTAATCTTATTTCTTATTAATTTTTGTACTTTCCTTATGTATTTATTAACTTTTATATACTTCTTCAATTTGGTTTTACTGCATTTAATCCTTACTGTGTTTCCTGAAGTGAAAGAGTCATCCAGACCAGTCAAGTCTATTGTTGCAGATTGCTGTAACATTATTGAACTATCACATTGCACAAGCTCGGAGAACAGGCTTTGCAACTAGCATAATATTGTTTTGCTATATGTATCACATAAACATCAGACCTACAAGTACCAGGGCAACATGGGACCGTGCCGGTGGGCAGATAGAGATGGTCAGGTAATAGGCGTAGGCAAATAATATTTAACTGTTCACTAGCAAGTAGACCCTTTGTCTAAAAGTCCATCATAGTTGGTACCTTTTGTACCTATTTCTGCTGCCAAAAAGTAGTGCATGCACTGCTATGTTCCAGTCTGACAGATATACGTATGTGCATTAGACCCATGCTGCAGCTATATTGTGGTTGTAGCACGAATGATCCGGCTCGAACGCTGAAGGACCACGCTTTCACAGAAGACCAGCGTCAAATAGCAGCTTAATGCTGCTGTGTTTCGTATGGAGAGCGTAGGGAACCGGAGACATTTTTTTTACTGGATACGGGGAATTTCATTAGCCTTCAGAGGTGAACGCTCCTGCATTTTGATTCCTAATCGAGATTAAATGTGGATGTCTGTGGTGCCACAGTGTCCATTTACCATCAGTGTGTGATTGAGTGCTCGTTGTCATCCATATTCTAAATAAAATAATTTAAATTTTAAAATGTTGTACAACCGATTTCAATATAAATTATAAAGAATAAAATTATAAAGAATAACCCAAAAACTATTGGTCAGACCTTGATCAAATTTATATGGGACCTAATGAGAATCACCAACTTTAAATAAAATAGAATCATCGAAATCGGTTCACCTAGAAAAACGTTATGAGGTAAAACACATAAAAATATACAGTCGAATTGAGCACCTCCCCCTTTTTTAAGTCGGTAGAAAATAGGGAATTGGAATAGTCTTGGAATTATTATTGACGCGAAGCTATAATGGGGCCAAATTATATCTAAGTTGGCCAACTGACTTAGTTTTAGCTGTTTGAGGTAAGCAGACGTCGAAAGTTGAAGCATCGCTAAAGTTGAAATAGCTAGTTTGGTTTATTTTAGCTATTTTCTTAGCATAATATACTATGAAAGTATGGCATGGGATATTTTATTCAATACTAGCTTCTGCCCGAGAGTTCGTATGCGGATGCTGTTGCTTATGCCAGCGACAACGGGGTCGTCAAAATCGAAGATCTAAAACGTCTGATGTTGAATTTTAAGAGCCCGGGGACGCGGAAACAACGTGATTCGCGAGACGTTTCGAGACGTTCTAGATCTTTCATTTTTGTAAGTCAACAGGAAACGCCCATCAGACTAAACAACTTTTGATAAGACGTCATTCCTATATACGTTATAGTGTCGCTGGGCTTTGGATGGCGTGTAACTCCTTGTGTATTATTAAGTTAATATATTGGTAATATTGTTTAGATCACGTTCACATGAGGCTTAAGTACTTATAGAACAAAAATACTTCAGCGCAAAGCTTCCGGGTAAACTATGTTGAAAGTAGTCAAGTTGCGGGAGCTGCCGAGAGCTTTTTTAAAACTAAATACAATCTAAGACTTAAAACTAAATAAAAACTACGTGTTCACAGACCATTGTCTTTTACAATCCTTAATCCTATGCTTACAGTCTACTTAAATTACTACATACTCAGCGTTTATGTATTTATGCTGATGGATGCTTTATCTGTATTATGGGTGGTGCTGGTGTAACCATAACGAAGTTTTTAAATAAAACTAATTTTACGGATTTTATCGCGTATATTAACTTATTTTTATATTCCCGACGTTTCGGGTGCTTTCCAGCACCCGTGGTCACGGGGGACTGAGTTGTTTGACGTCCTGCTCGGCTACTTTCAGTTTTTTAATATTAATTTTTGGTTCGATTTACGCAGAATGAGCTTACAGTATCTTGAAGTCTAGCAGTGGTATACTTGGGTTTGGATTTGATTTTATTAATTATGGGATCCCAAGCAGATGGCAGCACCCATCCATCTTCTCTATTGAAATTAGGATGTTTTTTAATTTCAATAGCCTCGCGAATCATCCTTGGGAGGAATCGGTGTTCTTTTGCGAGGATTTGTGGTCTATCAAATCAATGTAATGACGGGGACGATCCTGAACATGTTCACAAACTGCAGACTTCCCGATACGTCGGTGCTTCACGTCAGCTATATGTTCTTTAACGCGGGTTTTAATAGATCTTTTTGTTTGTCCTATGTACGAGAGACCACATTCACAATCCAGCTTGTACACTCCTGCATCTTGTAGAGGGATATGACACTTGACGGATGGTAATAATTGACCAATCTTCTTCAGCGGCTTGAAGTACGTTTTAATGGAAGCTCGCTTCAAGATGTAGCCAACCTTGTCTGTGACTCCTCTGACATAGGGTAGTACAGCAGGCACACGCTCGACTGTGGCTGGCTTCACTCGGTCACTGTGACGTAGCGCGCAGCTTGTTGTCTTGCAGTACTTGCTCGACGTGCTGAAGCTCGGCGGCCAGATGTTTTCTGTCACAGATCCCTCGTGCTCTCTGAAACAAAGATTTTCCCACGGTAGCTAACTGTGAAGGATGATGGTGAGATTCACCATTTAAATATCGGTTGGTATGGGTATTTTTTCTGTACACAGTATGACCAATAGTGTTATCAGGATTTCGGATGACTAAAACTTCTAGAAAAGCTAAAGTATTGTTTGCCTCTAACTCCATTGTGAATTGTATTTTAGGGTTTATGGAATTAAGGTGGTTTAAAAATGCAGTTACTTTGTCAGATGGTAAAATTGTGAAAGTATCGTCTACGTACCGCTTGTAGAATCTTGGATTTACAGGAGCAGTAAGAAGGGCTTTCTCCTCAAAGTCCTCCATGAATATGTCGGCGACTACGGGAGATACAGGTGAGCCCATTGCCACTCCGTCTACTTGCATGTAGAACTCTTCTTTCCACAATAAATAGCCAGATGTGAGGCAGTGTTTGAGTAATACTGCATATTCTGTAGGCATGTTGTTATCTTCTAGCTTTCTAGTAACAATTGAGATGCAGTCTTCAATAGGTAGGCATGTGAATAGTGACTGAACATCAAAACTGACCATAGTTTCATTGTCAGCGAGATGTAGATCTTTAATCTCACTAACAAATTGGTATGAATCCTTTGTGTGTGCTCTGGTATGTCCTCTTAGTGGTGACAGTATTTTTGCCAAGTGTTGAGCCAACTTATAAGTTGGTGAATCGATCTGGCTTACTATAGGACGTAGTGGAGCGTTTGGTTTGTGTATTTTCGGTAACCCATACAACCTCGGTGGTTTGGCACATGATGGTATTGTCGAATTCACGTCAAGATCTAATTTTCGGAGTATTTCTTTATTAAATCAGTGGTTGTTTTGAGTGTATTTTTTTTTATAGGATAAGGGTGACAAACGAGCACACAGTCCACCTGATGGTAAGTGGCCGCTGTGGCCCATAGACATCTACATCTATCTTCGATTAAGAGTCAAAATGCAGATGCGTTGTCACCCGTGAGGACTAAGATGGAATGCCTCGTTTCCAGTAAAAAGGGTCTCCGGTTCTCTACACTCACCATACGAAACACAGAAGCGTTAAGCTGCTATTTTACGCTGGTATTCTGTGAGAGCGTGGTCCTTCCCCGGTCGAGCCGACCCATTCGTGCTACAACCATAATATAGATGCAGCATGACTCTACCACGTATTACCAAGTATTAGTTGTAGGGTCTATTTTGACCTTTTTGTATGTACTTACGTCCGATAAAAGTTGTTGTATTTTGAAATTATACTCTGACGTGTCCATTATTACCGTAGCATTTCCTTTATCCGCGCGGAGAATCGTGAGCTCGGGTCTGTTGCGTAAGTTGTACAACGCTTTAAATTCGTCTTTCGGAAGATTTAGTTTCGGCGCTGAACTTCGACGTAACAAGGACGAAATGTCTTGACGTATAGCCTCTAAATCCTCTTTACCGATATTATTCTTAAACAGACAATCCTCAACACTACAGATAATTTCCTCGTACGGGATTTTTTGCGGCGTTATAGCAAAATTTAAGCCTTTCGACAATACTTTTATTGTAGGTTCGTCCAGTATTTCTTTTGACAAATTATAGACCGTGCGTTGTTTATTGTTTGCGTCTGTGGTCAACGGTTGTTGCGTTTCGTTTCTACGTTGACATGGATGTTTGGCATTTGATTTGATAGTTAATTTTTGGTATTTTTCTATTTGTTTGTCTTTGCATTCATTATATTTCGATATTTCGCGTTTGTTTAAAGTTTCAATGCAATTATTAAAATCAAATGTCGTTAAAACTGTCTTTAACTCACTGGACAAATTGTCTATGGTATTATTTATGATTTGTAAATCGAACCGTTTTTGCTGAATCACCGTTCGTAACAACTTTTTACTTGCCTGATTTAAGATCTTAGCGCTTCCTCGAATGTCCTTTTTAGTAGATATTTTGACGCACGTAGGAATGAGCTGGTGGTCGCGGCACCTTTTCAGAAAATTCAATGATGTTACATATCTTGCGCGCTTGGTCATGAGATCTTCTAATCGGCGAATTTTATTTGCAATTACCAGTCCGTACTGGTTTACATAATGATTTCTTATATTTACGCGAACACTACACATTTTTAAATAAAACTAATTTTACGGATTTTATCGCGTATATTAAGTTATTTTTATATTCCCGACGTTTCGGGTGCTTTCCAGCACCCGTGGTCACGGGGGACTGAGTTGTTTGACGTCCTGCTCGGCTACCTTCAGTTTTTTAATATTAATTTTTGGTTCGATTTACGCAGAATGAGCTTACAGTATCTTGAAGTCTAGCAGTGGTATACTTGGGTTTGGATTTGATTTTATTAATTATGGGATCCCAAGCAGATGGCAGCACCCATCCATCTTCTCTATTGAAATTAGGATGTTTTTTAATTTCAATAGCCTCGCGAATCATCCTTGGGAGGAATCGGTGTTCTTTTGCGAGGATTTGTGGTCTATCAAATCTAATGTAATGACGGGGACGATCCTGAACATGTTCACAAACTGCAGACTTCCCGATACGTCGGTGCTTCACGTCAGCTATATGTTCTTTAACGCGGGTTTTAATAGATCTTTTTGTTTGTCCTATGTACGAGAGACCACATTCACAATCCAGCTTGTACACTCCTGCATCTTGTAGAGGGATATGACACTTGACGGATGGTAAAAATTGACCAATCTTCTTCAGCGGCTTGAAGTACGTTTTAATGGAAGCTCGCTTCAAGATGTAGCCAACCTTGTCTGTGACTCCTCTGACATAGGGTAGTACAGCAGGCACACGCTCGACTGTGGCTGGCTTCACTCGGTCACTGTAACGTAGGCGCGGGACCCGAAGCTTGTTGTCTTGCAGTACTTGCTCGACGTGCTGAAGCTCGGCGGCCAGATGTTTTCTGTCACAGATCCCTCGTGCTCTCTGAAACAAAGATTTTCCCACGGTAGCTAACTGTGAAGGATGATGGTGAGATTCACCATTTAAATATCGGTTGGTATGGGTATTTTTTCTGTACACATTATGACCAATAGTGTTATCAGGATTTCGGATGACTAAAACATCTAGAAAAGCTAAAGTATTGTTTGCCTCTAACTCCATTGTGAATTGTATTTTAGAGTTTATGGAATTAAGGTGGTTTAAAAATGCAGTTACTTTGTCAGATGGTAAAATTGTGAAAGTATCGTCTACGTACCGCTTGTAGAATCTTGGATTTACAGGAGCAGTAAGAAGGGCTTTCTCCTCAAAGTCCTCCATGAATATGTCGGCGACTACGGGAGATACAGGTTCTACATGCAAGTAGACGGAGTGGCAATGGGCTCACCTGTATCTCCCGTAGTCGCCGACATATTCATGGAGGACTTTGAGGAGAAAGCCCTTCTTACTGCTCCTGTAAATCCAAGATTCTACAAGCAGTACGTAGACGATACTTTCACAATTTTACCATCTGACAAAGTAACTGCATTTTTAAACTACCTTAATTCCATAAACCCTAAAATACAATTCACAATGGAGTTAGAGGCAAACAATACTTTAGCTTTTCTAGATGTTTTAGTCATCCGAAATCCTGATAACACTATTGGTCATACTGTGTACAGAAAAAATACCCATACCAACCGATATTTAAATGGTGAATCTCACCATCATCCTTCACAGTTAGCTACCGTGGGAAAATCTTTGTTTCAGAGAGCACGAGGGATCTGTGACAGAAAACATCTGGCCGCCGAGCTTCAGCACGTCGAGCAAGTACTGCAAGACAACAAGCTTCGGGTCCCGCGCCTACGTCACAGTGACCGAGTGAAGCCAGCCACAGTCGAGCGTGTGCCTGCTGTACTACCCTATGTTAGAGGAGTCACAGACAAGGTTGGCAACATCTTGAAGCGAGCTTCCATTAAAACGTACTTCAAGCCGCTGAAGAAGATTGGTCAATTATTACCATCCGTCAAGTGTCATATCCCTCTACAAGATGCAGGAGTGTACAAGCTGGATTGTGAATGTGGTCTCTCGTACATAGGACAAACAAAAAGATCTATTAAAACCCGCGTTAAAGAACATATAGCTGACGTGAAGCATGCATGTAGAACCTGTATCTCCCGTAGTCGCCGACATATTCATGGAGGACTTTGAGGAGAAAGCCCTTCTTACTGCTCCTGTAAATCCAAGATTCTACAAGCGGTACGTAGACGATACTTTCACAATTTTACCATTATAGGATCACTTTGTTGTCCGTCCGTCTGTCTGTCTGTCAAGATCCTTTTTCTCAGGAACTCGTGGAGATATCAAGCTGAAATTCATATCACATACTCAAGTCTACTGTCCCTTAGAGCTGTGAAAAAATCAAACTTCTAAGCCAACGCAATCAAAAGATACAGCCGTTTATGCCGCAAATTTTCGACATTCGCAAGGGAATCAAAACCTACAGGGTACTTCCCGTGAACTCAGAATCTTAAAATTTGGTACGAAGCAACATATTATAGCACAGATAAAGGAAAAATTTCGAAAAGCATAATTTTTTAGTTACATCATATAATATAAATGTTTTTAATAATTTTAAATTTATATACCTACGGATTTGTTCGGAACCCTCGGTGCGCGAGTCCGACTCGCACTTGGCCGATTTTTTATGATAAAAATGATGTATGTAGCTACTGCAGGTAATAGACGCTTACAACCAAGTTCAAACAACGAAAGCAATCATCTAATTACCACCTCTATGCTGACGATTTGCAGTTATATCGTAATTTTGTGGCAAGCTGAACTTGGCGATTGAAGCTATGAATGATGACTTAAATAAGATTAGCGAATGGTCGAGATCGTTTGGTCTCACAATAAACCAAAATAAATCTCAAGCCTTGATAATAGGCAAAGATATGCGCGTGGCTTGCGTGATTTCTCCTCTCTCTCCAAACTCTACGAATCGATGGTACCACTATTCCCTACTCAGATACTGCCAAGAACCTAGTCGTTATTTTCGACTGCAATCTGACTTGGGGCGCACATATTACAGATGTAAGTAGGAAAATGTTTCATGCCTTTCATTCCCTAAAACGTCTTCAAAGATTTCTACCCTTGTCTACTAAGATATCTATAGTCCAGACTCTTATCTTACCAATTTTAGATTACGCTGATATCTGTTATCTAAATGCTACAGAGGAGCAAATTAATAAACTTGAGCGCTTGCAAAATTTATGTATTCGATACATTTTTGGCTTAAAGAAATTCGATCACGTTTCTTTTCATCGCAAGCAGCTTAAATGGCTCCCAATCCGCCTTCGCAGGAACACTCGAATCCTCTGTCTCCTTTTCAACATTCTACATAATCCTACTATTCCGCTATATCTAAAAAATCGTTTTACTTTTGTTCATTCTCCAGATGTACCATGTAGATCAAATACTAGAACATTGTTAGAATTTCCGTCTTACAATACCATGCTCTATTCCATTCTTTTTCTGTTAACGCAGTACCAGTGTAGAGTACCGCAGTATCTACGTGGTAGAGCCATGCTGCAGCTATATTATGGTTGTAGCACGAATGGGTCGGCTTGAGCGGGGAAGGACCACACTCTCACAGAAAACCAGCGTAAAATAGCAGCTTAACGCTGCTGTGTTTCGTATGGTGAGTGTAGAGAACCGGAGACCCTTTTTACTGGCAAAGAGGCATTCCATCTTAGTTCTCACGGGTGACAACGCATCTGCATCTTGAGTCTTTATTGAGGATAGATGTAGATGTCTATGGGTCATAGTAACCACTTACCATCAGGTGGACTGTGTGCTCGTTTGTCACCCGATCCAATAAAAAAAAAACATTGTGTAATTCACTTCCCTTTAGGATTCGTGATGCTAAATCGGTGTCTATGTTTAATACAAATATATATACTTATATATATATATATATATATTTGTATTATATATGTATATTTATGTAAGTGCACACTTTGACTACCTCTATTTCCTTCAACTTTCCTTCAATAGGCCTGCTGGAAGAAATTTCATCTTGGAATAAGCAGTGACTTTGTACATAATTATGTTATTACCATTTTCCTATCGAATTATGTGTGTACATAAACTGTTAAATAAATAAATAAAGCAACAGATGCGTTGTCACATCTGAGGACTAAGGTAGAATGCTTTACAGACTGTATTTATGGAATAGAATTTAATATTTTATTCCATACAGATTATTTCAATCTATACTTATAATAAATCTGTAGAGAGGTCAATTCTGTACATGAAATATATTTACAAAATCACTATCAGGGGGTGATTAGTGATGCAAACAGTAAAATTTTTGTCTGTCTGTCTGTCTGTATGTATGTTCGTTATAGAAATAAAAACTACTCGACGGATTTTAACTAAACTTGGTACAATCATTCTTCATACACCTGGACAGGGTATACTTTTCATCACGCTACAATCAATAGGAACAGAGCAGTGAAGGTAAATATTGGGGTAACGGGATAAATTACTCCATTTTTTAAGCTTCCGTCGCGTGTGCAGCCTTAATGGTTAAAGCTACACAGAAATAATGTAGAACGGAAATGTTCTCCTTAAAATTATATAAAAAATATTCCACGACAGCATATGTC